CCACCAGATTGATTTCTGTGTAAACAAGCATAGGAGTGCCCTGCAGCCTGTAGATTACGCTTTTATTAGTCCCACTTCTATGAAAACAACATGCTCCCTTGATCATCACAAAACTTGGAAGTGCCATGGGCTACAGGACTCCAGAGTGGAACTGGAGCTACCAAGGAAAGGGCCTCCTAGGTGGAGAAGAACTGGAGACGCAGTGCTGCATAGTGGTTAGGGCAGGGGTCAGAAAATTTTTTCAGCAGAGGGCCTGTCCACTGTCCCTCAGACCTTGTGGGGGGCCGGACTATATTTTGAAAGGGGGAGGAAAGGAACAAATTCCCATGCCCCACAAATAACCCAGAGATGCATTTTAAATAAAAGGACATGTTCTACTCATGTAAAAACACACTGATTCCTGGACTGTCTGCGGGCTGGATTTAGAAGGGGATTGGGCTCCGGCCCCCGGGCCTTAGTTTGCCTACCCATGGGTTCTGGAACATGGGTTCTGGAACAGGACTGGAGAGAGATAGGTTTGAACCCCCTCTCAGCCATTAAACTCTCTGCATGACCTTGAGCCGGTTACCGTCTCAAAGCCTAATTTACCTCACAGGGTTGTTGTGATAAAAAACGGGATGGGGGACGGACCATGCATGCCACATTGAGATCCTTGGAGGAAAAGTTGAGATATAAATGTAATAAACAAGTGAAAATAAGAAGGAAAAGGTGTGAGGCAGCAGAACAAGCCATTTAAAGACTATCCCTTTTCAACAAGCCTTTTAAGCCTTCATCTGTGTCTGTTTTGGATATGAAACTGTCTACAGATTTTTTTTTTTTAAATAGTTCTTATATCTAGGAGGAGTGTAACTCTGAATGCCAGCTCTAGGGTGGGGAGATGTCAAGTGATTGAAACTGGAAACTTTTGCATGCAAAGCAGTAGCTCTACCACCAAGCTGTGCCCCCACCCCCCGCTTTGGGGAGCCTAGGATTATTGAAAAAGCGAAGCCATTCATTTCATTGAAGTCCAACACAAGCATGCCAAAGAGCCACTTGCAAAAAAAAGCAAGGCGCTTACAATGCAATGAGTTAGCTCCTTGCTACAAAGCAGTTGTGTTCCTCCCATTATTTTGAGAATTGCTGTCAAAAAGGTGTGAACACATTAGGCATACTTTTAAAAATTTCTTTTTTAAAAAAATAAATCTAAAAAAGACAAGACATTAACAAAACAAAACTTGAGAGTTTTGCAAAATTTCACAGAAGCAGAAGCTTCTGAGAAGTAGTTTTAGGCTGGACTCCCCTATACACATATTAGGACACAAGCGGCGCTGTGATCTAAAACCACAGAGCCTCTTGGGCTTGCCAATCAGAAGGTTGGTGGTTCGAATCCCCGCGATGGGGTGAGCGCCCATTGCTCAGTCCCAGCTCCTGCCAACCTAGCAGTTCGAAAGCACAAAGGGCAAGTAGAAAGCACAAAGGGTAATAGGTACCACTCCGGCGGGAAGGTAAACGGCATTTCTGTGTGCTGCTCTGGTTTGCCAGAAGTGGCTTAGTCATGCTGGCCACATGATCCGGAAGCTGTCTGGGGACAAACACCGGCTCCCTCCACCAGTAAAGCAAGATGAGCACTACCACCCCAGAGTCGTCACGACTGGACTTAACAGTCAGGGGTTCCTTTACCTTTACCTTACCCCTATACACATGCACACACTTCCTAGGGAATAAGCCCTATTTAAAATGAGTCTCTCCTTCAGTATTTATTCAATTTATATCCCACCTCTCCTCCAAGGAGCTGAAAATAGTATGCATACTATCCCCACTTTCCCATTTTATCCACACCACAACAACCCTGCAGAGAAGGTGAGGCTGGGAATGAGCGACTGGCCCAAGGTCACCCAGCGAGCTTCATGGTTGAGTGGGGATTTGAACCCTAGTTTTCCAGGTCCTAGCCTAGCCCCCTAACCACTACACCATGGCAATGGTCCTACACTTGTATCAAGCATTACTGCCAAACCCACACAGTTCCTGCTATACACTGCTGAGGGTCCTCATAGGAAGGAAACTGCCTCAAGGATTGCATTGCTAATTTTTATCAAAATCAGGTTTCAAGTGAGTGTCACATAGCATGAATGCACACATGCACACATACACATCTCTGCAATCAGACAAGCAGGGGACACTTTCAAGGCCACACTCCAGGCAGGCAAAAACATTCAGAGGGTACAAAGCAAGTCCAGGGAGGGGTGTGGCTTACAGAGGGGGTGTGGCCCGGGAAAAGTCTCAAGGGCCAGATAAAGATGCATGGAGGACTGCATTTGGCCCTTGGGCTTGTGGTTGTCTGCCCCAGCTTTAAGCTGTGGTGTGACCTGCAGAACTCCTTCTGTGCTCAGTCAGCTGTGGGTTTGGGAGCCAGGACACTTGCAAGCGCCGACTTAAATAGGAAACAAACCAGGCTTCTGGGTCTTTCTTTAGTGTGCACTACCAGATACCACCAGCTTCACCATTGGTTCCTGTGCTCCTAATGGCTCCATTTCCTCCCAGACAATACAACAAAGGTGTGGATGTATGCCAATTTGTAGGGCATAATTAAATTAAACTAACCCCAAGCTGCTGTGGCCTGGTGTTGCTTAATCCGAGGGTAGCTGATCTATGGACCTCAGGATGTTGTTGGACCAGTGTCCATCATCTCCAATCACTGGCCATGCCGGATGGGACTGATGGGAGTCTGCAATCCAGTGGGAATGTACAGGTCACCCCTTCTGTGGGTCTGCATCTGCTCCGCATGCAGAATGTCTGGAGAGCTTCTGTCAGTCAGTATAGACCAGGTTTCCTCAACCTCGACCCTCCAGATGTTTTGAGACTACAATTCCCATCATCCCTGACCACTGGTCCTGTTAGCTAGGGATGATGGGAGTTGTAGTTCCAAAACATCTGGAGGGCCGAGTTTACCTATGCCTGGAGAATACTGAGCTGGATGGACCAATGGTCTGATTCGGATTACGGCAGTTTCCTTTGCTGTAAAATTTATTTATAAACTGTCCTGAATTTACTGGCCGGTCCAGGATTGTTAGATGACCCTGTGTTCCAGCGCAAAGAATGGGTGGGGGTGGGGGGAAAAACATTCTGTCCCCATCACGCCTCATTTTGTAAACCTTTATCATCGCCAGCCACCCTGCTAAAGTATAAATTCCAGAAACCTGAACGCCTCTCCTCTTTATTTCCTCTTAACGTTATTGTGTAAGGTGGTTGTAATTAAAATCAACATAATAAGGCCCAGCTCTTGATTGCGCTAAATCATTTCTTATTGATTGCAACATATTACATACATATTTAGTAGAAGAAAGTTTGTCCAGGCACCAGTTAATTCAGAAACGTTTGACAGCACAGCCCCCCAGTCTCTCTCTGCTACCGAATATGTACTTGAAAGAAATTAACTATGAAGTTAATTCATTCAACAAAAACAAACGCTCCTCCCCCTCTGATTCCCACTCGGCAGAGTTAAGGACAGCTTTTTTGGAAATAAATAATGGCTTAATTGGTTAGTCTATTTTAAAACTAGACCTTTGGAGGGACGTTCTACTGGGTGCAACATCTCTCTACTCTTTCACAGGGAAACCATCAGAGCAGGATTTGGAGGCAAAGGTCCAGGGGGACCCCACTCAGCAGAATGAGAAGGGGGGGGCAACATGCACACCCATACAAGGGCAGCCGGGCTGGCTTAGCAGCTAAAGGCAGCAGGAGGGGGGAGGGACCAAAGTCTAAATTTACTTGACTGCACCACTGATTGCTCATTCTATGAAGGAGACACCCTTTGATTCACACATATCCCTGGCTCAGGATGCTGCAATGCTAAATACCTGGGCTATGCCACCAAAGGCCCTTTCGTCCAGGCTGTTGGGACCAGGGAGGAGAGATTTCGGGATGACTCTGCAGTTGCAGTCCTATCCACACATGCAGCCAGATCCCACACATGTTTATTCACAAACATGTCCTACTGAGTTCCACCAGGCAAGTCCCAAGAAGGGAATTCTACAGTTCTTGCAACCTTATTAGGAAGTAAGTGAGCACAAGGGTCTTACTTCCGAGTAAGCACGCCTGTGATCTGTTCAAAGAAGTCACAATGACTCTCTCCAAGGTTTGAGGCTTTGCAGTTGGTGCATCAGGTGCACAGAAATAAGGGCAGTAGAAATTTCCCCATCACCTTGTCCTTTTGGAGTCATTGCACACATATATCTCATTCTGATATCATGGGCTGTATCCAAGCCCTACTCAGAGAAGACCCATTGGAATTAACTGACCTAAGTAAACCGTGTCCATTCATTCCAACAGAGCAGGCGTAACATTGGTGACAACCCATCATTTTGACGCCAGAAGATGGAGAGGTTGCTTTTCAAATGTGAGAGTCGAAGGATGTTGAGATGTAAAAGTTTAGTGGCATCTTCAAGGAGAGACTCATCCTCCTCCACCAGTGATGTCCTCTATGCAGCTGGGGAAACTGGGGTAGATGGAGTCTCTGCCAGGACAAGAGTTTGGGGGCAGAGAAAGACCATTCAAAATCAGGGAAGGGGTGCACAGCTGTTGCCCGTGTTAGCCCTACTCAATGTAGGCTCATTGAAACGAAACGACCCAATCCATTCATTTAAATGGGTCTGCTCTGAATGGGACTTAGCTGGATACAACCCAATGTGTGCATCCCGACTCCAAAATTAATATGCGCCAACTGCACAGTGACTTCAAAAAGGCAACTTGGCTGGGAAACGCCTCCCATGTTTTTTACACCTGATGCGCCAACTGCAAAACCCTGGAAAGAGTCACCGTGACTTCTGCAGCCGTCTACTCTGAGTAGGACTTCGTTAGCTCGTACTAAAGAGGGGGAGACTCCCACGGCCATTCAGTGCAGAGCCCCCCAACTGCCTAACTGCATCGCTTAGTGCCAAACGTTACCTGTGGCTGGGTAAGGGTGGTGTGGGGGAGGCGGAGATAGGGGAGGGGCTTCATCCTCCCCACTTTCCCCTTTTTACCTGAAATCGCTGTACGGGTGGATGATCCAGAAGCCGGCGGACTTAACCCTTTCCTGCTCCCTCTCCACGGCCTTTTGGCTGCCAAACATCCTCAAGGAGAATTTGTTGACCCCCGGCTGCAGCATCGCCCCGAACTGCCTCTGCATGAAGCCGGCCTGGCCCAGCCGCTGCTCGTCGTCCGGGGTGATCTGGTCGGCGCCCCCTCCCGCTCCGTCGGGACCCCCGCCCCCTTCCACTTTCACGAAGGCGGACGAAGAGGGAGGAGGCGGAGGGTCCGGCGGGGACGAGCAGGACGAGGCTGCCGCCGGGGTCGAGGAAGCCGGGGGTCCTGGCTCGGTGTCCGACAGGTCCGGGGGGCTGCGCTCGTCGCCGGGGGACGCCGCGTCCCCTTCGCTGCTGATCAGGCGGCGCTCCTCGCCCGAGTCGTGCGGGTGGCGGCTGGCCAGAGACGAGAGGCTCCCCTTGAAACGCCGGCAGTCCCCGTTGGTGCTGCTCTTGCCGCTGCCCCGGCAGCCCGGCGCCCCCGAGGCAGCCGACGAAGCCGCCGCCGTCGCTGCCTCTCCGCTTTCCACGAGTCCGCCGCCCGCATCCCCGACGCCGGGCCTCGAGGGCTCTCCTGCCCCTTGCCCCCGGGCTCCCCCTGGCGGCGCCGACGCCAAGGGCCTTAGCTTGATGCTTTTGCGACGGGCGTCCTTGTCGGCACCGCCGCCGCTGCAGCCGCTTCCTCCTCTTCCTCCTCCACCGGCTTCTTCGTCCTCCTCGTCCATGATCGACGCTTTGGGGCCGATCTGCTGCGGGAGGCTGTATAATCGCTTGCGCATCGACGGCGGCAGCCTGTCCATGGCCGCGCGCTCGGGGAGAGGTGGGGGAGGGCGGGGGAGACCTGCTTGCAGGCCGGCGGCTGGTGGTGGGGACCCCCTCGGCTCTCTTCCGCGCCTGCCCAACCCGCGCCCTCCTCAAGGAGCTTCTAAAACGGGGTCTCGCTCAGCTCCGCAGCCAGAGCGCCACACCGAGGACCACCCATCCTTCTCCTGTCCTCCCGGGTTGCGCCGGGTCGAGGATGCAGCGCTTCCGAAAGGGCAGCGGGGTGCGCCAGGCGGAGAGCCCCTGGCTAGCTGGCGTCCCACTGAGCCGCCGCCGCGGTGACCCTTCCGTCCGCCGCCTGCTGCTGCTGCACAGCCCCCCGGGGCAGCGGGACACCCAGCCGGCGGCTCCTCAGCGCTCGCCACGGCTGCATCTCGGCGGCGGCGGCAGCTTCCATAGGCGCCCGGGCAGCCGCGTCTCCGGCGAAGCAGACATAATAATGAGAAGGAGGGTGATCAGGAGGCGGACGGGGAGGAGGGACGGAGCAACACCTGCTGAGGAGCCGAGGAGGGCGATCCCCACCGCCGGCAGCCCCCGCGCCACAAGGGCCCCTCGCCCCTCCGCGGCCTCGACGGCGGCCCGCGATAAACAAGGAGCGCGCGAGCAACCTGCAGCAGCATCCAGCGCCCGGGCGCCGCTTACATCACTGCTGCTGCTGCTGCTGCTGCCATCCCTGATTCCTCATGCAGCAGCTCCTGGTCCTGGGAATATTCATGAAGCCAGCTGATCCGATTGGGTTGCCATAGGAGCCACCGCTGCCAATGGGCCCTGCCTACCTGAGCTGGCAGCCGGGCTTCTTAAAAGGGCAACGCCTCGGACGCCGGGTGGGCGTGCGCGTCTCGGGCGCGGGCTGGGGCGCCTCGGCTGCTGCCTGGAGCGGGGGATCGCGGGCGGAAGGACGAGGGAGCGTAAGGAAATCCACAAGCCCCTGATGCTCGTGTCTCTCTCTCTCTCTCTCTCTCTCTCTCTCTCTCTCTCTCTCTCTCTCCCCCCCTCTCTCTCTCTCACACACACACTCCTTGTCCCTCAAGTGCTACCATTTGCTCATGCAAAGCTGCAGTGCTGCGCTCAGCTAGGAGTAAGCCCCATTGAAGACCCCGGAACTTACTCCCGAGTAAAGGTGGGCAAGGTTCTTGGCTCCCCACCTTCGCCAACCCAGTGCCCTTCAGATGATTTGGACTGCAACTCCCGCCAACCTCAGCAGCCACAGATGTTTACGTTTCGTGTTGTCCTGCTTTTGTGGCGCTGTAGCCCGTGCAGACAGCAGGGATGCAAACGCAAAGCGGGCTAAATCCACCACGTTGTCGAGACCATGCTGCACTGTACGTGCCCACTGCAAATAAATAAAAATTATTTTAAAGTCTGCAGGAACCCCGGGTGAAACTTACTTCTGAGTAAATGTGTCTATACAATGGCAGAGGCGCTAGGACCGAAGCCTTTTGTCTCTGTTGCAGCGGCACACAGCTTCGTGGTGGTTAGTGCCCGTTGGGGCTGGTAAGATGTAAGGCAGGAGGCCAACAGTAGGTGGAGCCAGAGCCAATGACAGGTGTAGTCTAGTTCTGTCCTCATCTGCCTCCCTGCTGAATTCGACAAGGGCACAACAGAAACCAAGGAGAGGGGAGTGGACAGGCAGTGCCACTTTCTGGACTGGTTGTAAGAAAAAAGACAGGTCAGGAAGGGGCTGGCTGAGTGCAAACTGAGGTTGGTGGGGCAATGCCCCGTTTGCCCTAATTGACCAGCTTCCACCATAGCTGTCAACTTACAGATTTGAAAATAAGGGACCAGCAGCCTTGAAAATAAGGGACCAGCAGACAAAATAACGGACCTGCAGCCTCACCTGTTCCAGGCCCTCCAGTCTTCCTGTCCTCCTGCAGTCTGGTCAAACTCATGCTGGTAGCTTTGAGAACACAGTCCAACCAACTTTGTAACCAGAGGTTCAACTGAATAGAATCTGAATCACATGCACCACAAGGCCTATGCAGCCTCAACTTAAGATGGCTCCCCGGCCTGGCTTGGCACTGCAAAGTTTGCAGCAGCACGTGCAACAAAATGGCGTCCAGCATTCAAAAACCCTCTCAGCTTGCATTAACTAGCCACACACAAGGCATGCAAGCTCCACCCCCCAGTCGTTCTTAGACTTCTTATTGGGTGAGCAACACAGCCAAGCAACCCAGTTGGAGCCTCCCTCCTCCCTGGCCGGCAGGGAGGGAGAGAGAGGAGCTGCTTCCTTTGAAATTTAAGGGACATAATTTAAGGGACATTTAAGGGACATCCATCAATAAGGGACAGCAGTGGGACGTGGCACTGGGATAAGGGACTGTCCCTTCAAATAAGGGACACTTGACAGCTATGGCTTCCACCGAAGTTGTGTATTCAGAAAGTAAGCCCCCATTGCATTGAATGGTGCTTACTCCAGAGCAACTGTGCCTGCAATTGCAAACCTCAAACAGTGTCTTCTGGCACGTTAAAGGCTTAACTCAGCTGCTCCCAAGACAGCGTTCATTAACCCGATATCCTCTGTATATTACAGACTGCAACTCCCAGCAAGTGCTGGCTGGGACTGATGGGAAATGTAGTCTAGAACACCTGTCAGGAGGCAGGTTGATGAAGGCTGCTCCTGGAAATTTGGGGACCAAAAGGTTTTTGCTCTCTCTCCCTTGCTCTTGCAATTGTAGAGTCTCTTATGAGGAAATGAAGATGATTTATCAATGCAAAAGAATAAAAACAATACCCCATGCAGACTGGAAATCTGGCTTGATTGACTGGTGCATCAAATCAAGAAGGATTCTTAGAAAGGATCTTTTGTGTCCATCTTGTCCAACCTCTGACTTAAGCGCATCCTGTTTCTGGCGCCTTAAACCAGAAATGCATTGAAAAATACTGTGCATATGAACATCGCCAACTATTTTATATTGAGTCAGACCACTGGTCCATCTCTGATTGGCAGTGAGATTGGTACATGACATCCTTCAACTGAAGGCATCAAGGATGACAGGGATGCTTTTTTAAAAAAATAATTTATATACTACTTAATGTCAAAATAGTCTTCTAAGAGTTTTACAAATATAACAATCAGTTGCACAAACATTAAAATACAAATTCTCATATTTAAAACGTGCACTTTTATTGTATTTGTTTAGCAGAATTTATATCCTGCTAGACTAAAAAAACAAACAAACCCCAAGTGGTTTACAACAATATAAAACAAAGCATTACAAATATTGATTTAAAAACAGTTAAGCACAGGTAATAAAAATATTTAAAATATGATTTAGCACAACACAAGCTAAAAAGAAATAAAACCCGTTGAGATAGGCTTGCTTAAACAAAACTATTTTAATCAAAAAGAGTCAAGTTGTTTGCCTGATGATAATAGGAAGAAAGTTCCAAAGTTTAGGTGCTGCTACAATAAAAGTTTGATTTCTTACAATGGTGGAACAAGTATTATGTGCTGCCTCCTGTAAAAGTGCCAGTTCTGCAATAAAAACAATCTATGAAAACAACTCCACAATTAAAACCGGAGACTCTGTTTGAGAGATCAAGGGAATACCTGGCAGTTTTGGTAGGCAAAGGATGTGCTCTGCCACTGGGAATGACCTCCCCACACAGCTATTTAACCTGATAAACTAAGAGAGCAATTTGAATCAGAACCTGAGAGGCTACTGCTCTAAGTAGCATCTTCCTTTTTAAAGGTTTGATTTAGTGTACTCATTTATTTCCCAACTTTCAGTATATTCAGTATGTACTGTATGATTTTAAAAAAAAACCCCAGAAAGCATCAGAATTAAAAATTGTCGCAGAAAAATGATGACAATTGTATAACTGATGTACTAAGATATGGAAAATGCTTAAATAAAAACAAAAATTAAAATTGCCACAGATTGAAATAATCTTTCAAGGAGGCAACAGTTCTCAGTAGCTCAATGGAACAGCATAGTCTTCCCTGCCCCTGAAGGCAGGTGGACCTCTCTAGTGGGTTTAGCATCTCAAGAGGTGCACAGGGTCAGCTTTCAGGAGATGAGAAAGCTTATCTCCCATCAGGCAGCTGGGGGTGAATGAATGCTAGAAAGGCAGGACTCTCCTTATGGTCCAGCGACATTAATATATAAACATCTTCTGGATGGGGGGCGGGGAGTGAAGCCCCTCCAGCTGGATTTGCTAGTAGATACAGTGGGTGAGTAATTGCACAAAGCTTACATTTTGACCCATTTCCCCATGTGCTCTTTCCAACCTGGAACAATCCATCACTAGGCACTGAGAATAAAGCAATTATGTGCAAAAGGGTGGATTGATCGGGCCGTGTGCACTTTGAATGATTTATTAGAGGGAGGAAGTTCTTCTCTGACCTTATTTACAACGGGCTGAGAAATATCAACTGGGAGCAAGACTTCCATGGCAGGAATGCGACTGCATAACGTATTAACTAATATTTCTGGACCAGACGTTTGTGCTATATCACCTTCTCCGGACATCGTATAGACAGGCAGAAATCAAAATTGTGCTAAGAAAGCTCCAAACTCACCAAGCTGAATGATGTGAGCCTGGTGAAAACGAATAGTATTTGAATATATTATGGGAAGGGACGCGGGTGGCGCTGTGGGTAAAACCTCAGTGCCTAGGACTTGCCGATCGTATGGCCGGCGGTTCGAATCCCCGCAGTGGGGTGAGCTCCCGTTGTTCGGTCCCAGCTCCTGCCCACCTAGTAGTTCGAAAGCACTCTTAGGTGCAAGTAGATAAATAGGGACCACTTTATAGCGGGAAGGTAAACGGCGTTTCCGTGCGCTGTGCTGGTGCTGGCTCGCCGGAGCAGCTTCGTCACGCTGGCCACATGACCCGGAAGTGTCTTCAGACGGCGCCGGCTCACAGCCTCTAGAGCGAGATGAGCACGCAACCCTAGAGTCGGACACGACTGGCCCGTACGGGCAGGGGTATCTTTACCTTTACTATATTATGGGAAATGATGACTAATAGGGTACATGAGAGAGATTTGTAAAGTTGGTGGGAAATGGAAAAGGGGGGGGAAAGAATATTTTTCTTCTCCTATAACACCAGGACTTAGGATCACCCTGTAAAATGGGTGAAATGGTAGATCTGGGATAGTCAAAGGAAGTATTTTTTCGCCACACTGCAAACAGTTAATCAGAGGGACTCCTCGCTGCAGGATGTGGCAGCTTTCAAAGGGGATTGGCCGAATGCGTGAAGATGGAGAGACCTATCAATGGGCTACCAACTATGACAACTCAAAAGAACCTCCATATGCAGGAGGAGTGTAACTGACTGCCAGCTGCGGGGGGCGGCAGCAAAACAGTAAGAGTGAGCTGCTGTTTGCATGCCTTGCTTGTGGTCTTCCTTAGAAGCCTCTGCCCTGGTTGAAGCAGGATGCGAGAGTAGACGGGACTCTGGTCTGATCCTGCATGGCTCTTCTGTACAATGTGCAGTTTTCTCCACGTGATGCTCTGCTTGCCAGGATGATGCTCCCATGTGTTCACCACTGATAGACCGAGAGTGCATGCAGAATGTCTCTGATCTGACTACCGTACATAGGAAGCTGCCCAGAGTCAGCCCATTGGTAAATCCAGTTCAATATTCTCTGTCTGGAAGTGGCCCCCAAGAGTTTCAAGTTAGAGCTTTCCCCAGCCCAGCCAGGAGATACTAGGGACTGAAGCTGAGACCTTCTGCATGCAAGGTGGATGCCCTAGCCCTGGACTCTTATCCCTGTTGCTGTTACAGAGGCAAGAAGAGCCATCCCTATCTGTTGTTCTTTTGCTTCCCAAAACAAAAGCTTCTGCGGAGCCTCTTCACAAATCCTGGGAAATAATGTATACGTTTTCATAAGGCTCCTTTCCCCCAGTAGGTTTCCACTTCCGAAGATTTGCAGGTCTCGCTTAACAGGATTAGGTGAGAGGGTTTA